AGCGCCCTACGAGGCTGGCATCCCGCTCTCACCCTTTCACTGTCAAAACTACTAAATGTAGTCGTCTCTTCTACTCCAATAGCTTTATGTCTCGCATCTCTCGCCTGTGGAACTCCCTTCCCTATTCCAGTTTCCCTGAGAGCTATAATCTCCAACTATTCAAATGTAATGTCAATCGTGATCTCCAGTTGTCTTGATCTATCTATTATCCTTCTCCTCATCCTTTCCTCTATCGCTCCTATCTGATCTTGCTCAAAATTTTCTTTAACCTCTTGCATCCTAGTGGCTTCTCGCCTTGATTGGGGTGAAACGCTTAAAAAAAACAAAACAGAAAAAAAAAACCTGTCATTGCCGACTCGATTAGACTTACTATGTAGACAGAAGTAGATTGTTTTGTCCTCAGCGTAGGTGATGTATTAAGAACTGATCACATCACGGTGGTCGTTAATGTTTAGGGACAACGTAGGTCTCAGGATATTGTCCGGGCGAGGTACGTGAATTAATACAAAAGGATATAGAAAAGAAGCTTATTTTTAATATTAATAGTTTGCGTATTCTATTATTAAAGACGTTATAAACGTAAAACAAACAAGTATTATATTTTCACCGACGCATGCAGGAGAGTTGGGAAGAAAAGAAACTCTATGAAGAACGAGATTTAAGACTCTGAGATATGTTTGTTCACTTTGATAAGCTGTGCATGCTTTTTAGAAGAAAGTCATTGCAATTAAAGAAGAACAGACTTTACCGTTTGACAGACATTCCTTCAACGAATCTTGAAGGAGACGAGGAGTGTATATTGAGGATATAAATTTGGAATCCTATGAGATTTTTCCCACGTTGACGTACTTCTTGCTCAGTTTGGTTTTGTTTAACGGCATATCACCTCCTTATGACTCATTTAAAGCCGAAATTTAATTTCCTTGAGATCTTTAATGATTTTTTTTCACCATTAAAATCTACTGCTGGAAATGTTTACTGGGTTTGTTTACTTTCATAATTTTTTCACCCCAATTTTTTGGAGTTCAGTATTTTCCCATATCTGGGACCCTGACAGGTGCTGCTACTCCGTGGGCAGTGTTGACCTGAGAGCAACAGCAGTTATATGATGGTGCCACGCTTCACAAAACTTCCCAATTCAGGGGCCTTCCTGTCGGATGTTTTTCCTTTGCTTCTACTATTAAATCTATTGTAATATTTTAGAGTTCCACTTCAAAATCCTTTTACTTTGATAGTTTTTGAAGATATTCAATGATACATTACAAACTACAAGGTCTGCCATTTCAATAAAATAAGTTATTCTCTTCTTGCGATCATTGAGAATGATATCTAGGCGAATAAATTTGATTGTTCTGTCTGTATGCATTGTAAAGCCCCATAAAATTGTTACCGGGTAGGGATGGTGTTCATGCCAGTTTCTTGCAGTTTCCTTCACGTAAATTTTGCATATATTCCAGAGCAGATATTGGCTACCATATCATGATGAATGAGTGCTAAAACTGTGCATCTTGAGGAGCCTACGTTGAGGATATAACATTGGAATCCTATGAGATTTTTCTCACTTTGACGTACTTCTTGCTCAGTTTGGTTTTGTTTAACGGCATATCATCACTTTACGGGTCATTTAATGCCGAAATTTAATTTCCTTAGGATTTTTAGTGATTTTTTTTTACTATTAAAATCTATGGTCAATTGTATTTGCATATTTATCACAGAATGTGCATTTCGGGTTAACACAAATTTCAATTTTTCTGCTTGGAAATATCGGGTTAGCAACAAATGCCCTCTATAATAAGAATCAAACCTTCAGGGACCTTGCTTCCGGATGTTTTTGTTGCAGTTTTTTTGTGTATATCTATGTAACTAGTGAGTTAACTAAATGACTTAACTCACTTTATAGTCCACCAATAGAAGGTTAACCAATCAGAAGACGTAGAACATTCAATCCGTCGTGTATAAAGGCGGCCATTTTTGTTCACTCTACCCGAATGTCCAGTCCAGCTTGTCAGGTGAAGAGAACCAGAAGGACGAACTATGCTCTGCTACTTTTATCGAAATATCCACTGCTAACCTGAACAACGCTTTCCTACTGTCTTCGAAATATTCTCTGCTAACCTCTGGATTCTATACTCGAAGACGACCGTCATGATGAATAACAGTTTTTCCTTTGCTTCTGCTATTAAATCTATTGTAATTAAGAATTGTTTTTGCCTTTTGGTCAACGATTAAAAAGGTAAAGAAGACTATATTGAGAAGTGGATTTGGAATCCTGTGACGTTTGTGTGCATTTTGGTAGACTCTGTGTACGTCATGAGTAAACGGCAGCGCGAATTGGAGCGTCTACGCCAGACAGGTGAGACACATCATCGCCTTTCATCTTCGCTATCGGAGTCGCGTTCTAGGTATCAATTGGTGCGACCGTGACACCAGTGACGTAGTTCTTACCCGTGCCAAGTTACCCAGCCTATACCCCGTTCTCCAACAGCACCGGCTCCGCTGGTTTGGACTTGTACACCGTATGACGGATGGAAGGATTTCGAAAGTCATTCTCTACGGGGAACAAACCGCCAACAAGAAGCTACGAGTCGGACCTAAACTTCGTTTCAGAGATGTCTGTAAATGGGACATGAAGGCAATGGACATGGACATCGAGAGGTGGGAAGACGTAGCCAACGATCGATAATGGTGGAAACGCGAGATGAGATGAACGATCGACGGAAAGAAAACAAAACAGAGACATCAGGGGAAGAGCGTCTTCACATGCATTCGTTGTAATCGAGACTGTCACTCCCGCGTGGGACTGTACAGCCATAATAGATGTTGCGCTGTCAGCAGCAAGGAGGTATAAACTTTTGAGCGCAGATCCAGGGTCACTGGGGGCCGACGAATTAAAGTATGATTCTGCTATTATATATGTTACAATTAAGATAGAATATACATTCTTTTTTTTACAAACCCTCGTAAAATGACTGAAAAACGATTGGGAATATGATGAGGACGGGATTTGTAAGTATAATAAAGATGAGGACAATGTACAACACTTCACCTCAGAAAGATAGATACATCCTGAAGAAAGAAGGAGCGTACAACGGTCGAAACGTCATGAATATGGCAATAAAGATAAGGACAACAGTCCGGACAATGTAAATATTTTAAACTCTTATAATACCTCATCTCAGAAAGATAGGCACATCCTGAAGAAGGGTGGGGCGTACAACGGCCGAAATGTCGTGAATATGACAATAAAGATTAGAACAGTAGTCCGGATAATGTAAATATTGTAAATAGTTACAATACCTCATCTCAGAAGGATAGACATATCCTGAGGAAGTCTGGGGCGTACAACGGCTGAAACGTTCTGAATATGGCAATAAAGATGACGACAACATTCCGAACAATGTATATAATTACAATACCTCATCTCAGAAATACAAACAGATAATGACATATTTATAAAAAAAATAATATATTTTGCCTGCTTCTACTATTAAATTTGTTTTAATTGAAAAACTGGCATAACTTTTTGATCAACCCTCATAAAATAAACAATCTTGAAGATATAAGAACTTACATAGATCTCAGGAAATGCTGGCAGTCCAATCGACCGTAGAAAAGCAATCGAAGTAAACTGGATGAAGACTGTAGTCTAAATATTTAATCGAATAATGGCAGTTTTGGTGCTTAGATCACCAGACAATGAAATCGTGAAATAAGTAGGTATTCTGTTAACAAAACACGAATCAAAGTCATGAGTCAAAATAAACCGTCAATTTCGGATAATTTGGCGTTATGATCGTTCAAACGCAACAATCTGAAACATTTTTGCTGTCTCTTCGAAGACAATAAGGCGGATACAGCTGCCGAGAATCGATATGGCTTTAAAGTGCAGTTGTTTCAGAGTTCGCGTTAAATATATCTGTCTTTCGATGGAGGTTTAGTGAATGATGCTTTTGTTTTATTTGGCGTGTAACCGAGGGAAGTTAAAAATAAAATAAAATAAAAGTTCGTGTCTCTTCTCGATGGTCGTCGACTTTCCGTGTTAGGAAGGAAAAGTCTAAACCGGTGAAAGAAATTTGAAGAAGGAATATTTGACGCGCTTAAGCGTGTATTTCAGTGCCACTGAAATCGGTCACTGATTGATGGAAGTTCACTTTGTTGGAAGAAAAAAAAAAGGAGGCAACTGATGAAAACGATGGATCGATTTTGTAGAGGACGGGTATAATAAGGGAAGAAAAATGGAGGACGATTTTTAAAGAAGGAAATATGTCAGAATAGGCGCAAAGAGAGAAAAGTTTAAGAGACGGCAAGGATGAGAATAGAAGAAAAGAAGTGTGAAATACCATAGAACAAGAAGAAGAAGAAGAGAATATTATTATTAATACGATATGCTACTAATACTAATAATAATAATAAGAAGAAGGGTGTAGGAAGAGGGAGAAGAAAAGAATATTAATAAGAAGACAATAATAAGAAAAAATGTAGAAAGAAAGAAAAGAATGGAAAAGAGAAGCACAATGAAAGAAAAGCTTAACAGACGAAAAAAATGAGAAACATGTGGAATAATGAAGAAGAAAGAGACGAAGAAGACAATAGTAGAAATAATATGAAGAAAAAAGAAAAAGAATGATGGAAAAAGAAGAAAAAGAAGAAGAGTAAAAGGTAATAATACTACTAATAATGATAATGATAAAATGGTGTAGAAAGATAGAAAGAAAGAAAGAAAGAAAGAAGAAATGAAAGAGAAGAAGCACAAGGAGAGAAATGTTTAAGAGAAAAAAGGATGGGAGCATGAAGAAAAATGTGAAATAACTAAAAAGAAGCAGACGAAGAAGAAAAAAAATATTAATAATATGAGTTATGAAGAATAATAAGAACATATTGTAGAAGAAAGAAAGAAAGAAAGAAAGAAAGAAAGAAAGAAGGAAAGAAAGAAAGAAAGAAAGAAAGAAAGAAAGAAAGGAAATGAATTTATGAGACGTATATGAAGTGGGGAAAATAAGTTAAATATAAGAAGGACGAAACGAATTAAGTAACGAACAAGAAAAACAAAGACGAAGACGAGGATAATAATAATAATAATAATAATAATAATAATAATAATAATAAAAAGAAGAAGAAAAAGAAAAAGGACAGCATAATAAAGTAGAAAGCAAGCAAGCAAGCAAGAAAGAAAGAAAGAAAGAAAGAAAGAAAGGAGAAAGTAAAAAAATATTGAAAGGAAATGATATGTGTATAGAATTTAAAGATTTAAACGTACAAGGACATATGTAAAGAAAGAAAGAAAGAAAGAAAGAAAGAAAGAAAGAAAGAAAGAAAAAGAAAGTTAGGAGTAGAATATGAGGAGGTGAAAATAAGTTAAATGCAATAAGCGAAGGAGAGTAGGACAAACGAGTTAAGTAAAAAAGAAGATGAAAAAAGAAAAAAGAAATCGTGGATAAAAGAAAGAAAGAAAGAAAAGAAGAAGAAATAAAGAAGAAAGAAGAAAAGAAGAGTAGAGGAGCGAAGAAAAGAAAGTGAATAAAGTGAATGGAAAAAAGAATATTCATAAGACGGGGAGGATGAATTACGAATGAGCAGTACAATAGGGCGGAGACTCCAAATATCGGATATTCTGAAGCAAATCGAAAAAAAATAGACAATGAAAAAAGAATTTTTACGAATATCAAAATAGAAGACAAAAAAAAACTGAGAAAGAGTGAAACTTGAAAGCACAAAGCTATGAACGCCTTAGACTGAGAAGGCAAGTGAGAGAAGAAAGATATCGACTTAATAAAAAAAATAAATAAATGGAGGTGATGATATCAATATCGGAAAGGAGACGAAATGTTGAAAGATTATAAGAGATAAAAGAAACAGTAAAAACAAAACTTTCGACGCTAAAATATCAGCACGAACAACGGGGATGAATTGAGATCAGATAAAATCGAGCAGAATAAAATTGGCTAATAAAAAAGGAGACGAAAGAAACATATTTCTGAAATTACGTGTGAAAATTTAAGCAGTTACTGAAGTGAATATGCACTAAGATGCATGAAAAAGACATTTTGTAATATATATATATATATATATATATATATATATATATATATATATATATATAGAGAGAGAGAGAGAGAGATCGACAGACACCATAGATGGATCTATGTGAACTGACACGCACGCTCACACACATATACATATATATATATATATATATATATATATATATATATATATATATATATAGAGAGAGAGAGAGAGAGAGATCGACAGACACCATAGATGGATCTATGTGAACTGACACACGCACACACACACACATATATATATATATATATATATATATATATATATATATATATATATATAGAGAGAGAGAGAGAGAGAGAGAGAGAGATCGACAGACACCATAGATGGATCTATGTGAACTGACACGCACGCTCACACACACACATATATATATATATATATATATATATATATATATAGAGAGAGAGAGAGAGAGAGAGAGAGAGAGATCGACAGACACCATAGATGGATCCATGTGAACACTCACACACACACACACACATACATACTGTTTTTGAAGGGTAGACTACAGAGACCTGATGCAGTAAGTGCCAAAAGGTCCCCAAACAACTGTCGCAGGTTTTGGATTAAGAGTTGTCCTTTTCTTAAGCCAGTTGCCATTCAAGATATAGAAGCCAGTCTGTCCTGCTATTTACCCATAGATGGAGGGAGATGTGGATTCATAATTCGAACTCGGCTCTCCGATTCCTCAATATATATATATATATATATATATATATATATATATATATATATATATATATAATAACTGGCCACACTTATCCCTATTGCAGACGCTCGCTCAGTCACATTTCTGTTTAATCAACACCCACAGAGCTTACATGTGGTTTATACTACAACTACGCCGAGCAGACTTTAGTTACCATTTCTGAGAGTGAGCATGATATCTAGCGTCATCAACAATTTGAACAAGGCCAGCACGCTCAAGCTCTCAGACACGATGACTTGGGGATTTGTGCTAGCATAGATATCTACGACCCTAAAGAGTTCCGTCTACCCAATTTAACTCACAAGGCTTGAGCCAACTCGTGGTATGGTTTTCAGGCAAATTCCAAATGAGCCTCAAGCTGGGATCAACCTTGATCGATTCCGATAACATCAGGAAGTATCCTTTCTGACAAATCGACCATGGTGAGATTCGAACATATACATACATACATACATACATATAGATGCATAGATAGCATAGGTTGATCCATGTTAACAGGCATATATATATATATATATATATATATATATATATATATATATATAGGGTGTGTCAAAAGTACATTTACAAAGGTTTTCTCACACCAAGAGAAGGAGAAAAGTCAATATAAACATTTGTCTGCAGATCCTTCGTTTTTGATTTATAAAGTTTTGAAAAACTTTAAAGTGGACGGCGCTGTGTTGTCATGTAGAGTAGCTTACATCTGTCATTCGTGTACATTTGTGGTAGTCTCTTTTCAACGTTTACGTGTGTAGTAGTGATTTAACTGAGAAGTGTTTCTTTTAACAATGTCACGATATTCATATCGTAAGGAGACAGATATGATTTTTGCATATTGACGTGCGAATGGTAATGAACGCGAGGCTGCACGGCTGCAACAGATCGCGATTCCAGACCTAAGGTAGACGTTTCATCCAACCTTTGCTGCTGTTTATCCACAGTGGCAACACAGACTATGGATCGAGGAAGACTGGCATCCGCTCATACGCCTGACCACGAAGAACGCATTCTGTAGGTTGTCGGAGATGATCCATGTATCTGCAAACCATATGTAAAAATCTGCTTGCTCGCGATATGAATATCCTGCCATTGTTAAACGGAACGCTTCTCAGTTAACTGACTAAACTAAACACGTTAAACGTTGAAGACAGACTTGCCACACATGTATACGAATGAAAGATGTAACCTCGTCTAAATGGCAACACAGCACCGTCAATCGCAGCCTTTCTTTAAACATAACTAAAAAATTAAGAATTTGCAGACATATGTTTATTTGGATTATTGTTTGTAAAAGTATTTTGTTACACCCTGTATATGTACCGAATGTAACAACAAAATTGTTCAATTGTTAGATTAAGCTTTGAGCCCTTGTATCTTAGAAATAATTAGATATTTTACTGGGATTTGTTTTCCATTAAGATCTTTTTGTAGTTGATCTTAATGCAAACCAAAAGAACACATCTACCTGTAATTGCAGGGAAGGATTCGTTTGTTCAGTAGAGGGAATATGCATGGCAGAAAACGTAATGTACGAAGCTACAATTTTCCCCAAGTAAGATATTAAACAGAAAAAGATATACAGTGGAATATCGGCGGGAAAATGGAAGCAACGTTTTTATAACCATCGCCAGTCCTTCCTAAATAAATCTAAGAAGCACCAAACGGCACTATCAAAACATTATTGGGATTTGTTGGAAAGCAACTTAACCCCACAAGTAAAATGCAAAATCGTCTCGAAGGCTAGAACTCCAATAAATTTCAGAGACCGATGTAACTTGTGCATAAAAGAGAAGATCCTAATGATAAAGCATAAAGATCTGGATATATTACTAAACAAAAATAACGAGTTTTTTTTTCTCAATCTAACTAAATATATTTAGAAATAACTATATAGAAAGGAAAAGATTATTTTGGGTTTGAAATGATTATATGCACACATGGATGCGGATACATAATTGTATGTATACAAAAGTGTAGATGAACTTGGACATTGATATGTGATTTTATGTATGTATGTATGTATGGGCATTTTGGATAAGGGTGTATACATGCATATATGTGTATGTCTGGATTGTAGAATATATATATATATATATATATATATATATATATATATACATATCTGTGTGTATGAATATGTATGTATGTGTGTGTATGGGCGCATGCGTAAGTTTACCTAGGTATTTTTGTATGTATATATATATTTTGTATGTTTTTTTTTTCATACATCTTAATGTACATTTGATATTGACTTTTGTCCTTTTTCTTGTGAGGAACCTGTCCTCAAAGTTTGTAAAATTATTTTTGATATATCCTCTATATAAAAAGGGAGAAATTTGAACATAGATAGATAGATAGATAGATAGATAGATTAGAAAGGACTTGGACAGTTCGTCCGGCATATATGTATTATATGATCCACATCTGTAAATGAATTTAATGCCAGTATGGTTTGCTTCTTCTAACGTTTGCCGGTGTTATTACGCACAGCAGCCCAGAATGATTAATCAAAGTCGGGTTTTTTTAACATTAACTTACGCACAAATTCCCTTTGGAATGCTATGAATCTTTAACTTTCGCTATCCATGGATTAGATACATGGCAACCATCGATGGCAATCATTCTAGCAGAAGGAACAGTCTGGACTGATTACCGGATGTAACTCTGTCGAAGACCATATGACTGAGAAAAGAATAAAACCATCGTGAAGTTTACAGACATTGTGCGGTCACAACTGCCTTGATTGCTTGTGCTAAGAAATTATAAATTCTGAAAATATACTTTTTCTTTCTAATAGTAGGCTCTCCACCTCCCTCTATCACTTGCAGCTCTCAATAAGTTCCTTCCCTCTGCCACCTCCCCCAAGACCCAGATCAGTCATCCACTTGATTAAGGCCGCTAGGTATGTCATGCGTTGTTTTCCCTTGTCTCTCTTTCACTCTATTCGATCCCGTGAGTATCAGATTCTCTAGGCCCTCCTTCCTCATTATGTGTCCCCAAAACTTCAGCTGCCTCTTCCTGATGTTAAGTATAAGTCCCTAAGACCTCATCGTTGCTCACACGCTCGGTTCATGAGATGTCGTAAAGAAGGACAGATGTCACATAAAAGCTCAGTATTCTTTTCATCGTTACCAAAGAAATCCTGCCCACCTTTTGGAATGTATCCTTAGCCATCCCAATACGCCTACGGATCTCTGTCGTATTCGTCCTTTCAGGATCTACGAGATCATGGCTCTCCACCTCCCTCTATCTCTTGCATCTCTCAAAGGTTCCTTCCATCTGCTTACGACCCTAGTCAACTTGCTTAAACCCGCCAGGTAAGTCATGCGTTGTTTTCCCTTATCTATCTTTCCTTCTATTCGTCCCGTGAGTATCAGATTCTCCAGGTCACTTCTTCTTCATTATGGGTTCCACGAACTGCAGCTGCCTATTCTTAATTTTAAGTATAAGCCTCCTCCTTTTTTGCATCCTCTCTAAGACCTCATCGTTGCTCACACGATCAGCCCATGATATCATTAGGATCCTTCTGTAGAACCCCATCTCCGTTACCCAGCTTTTGAAATGTGTCCTAGGCCATCTCAATACATCTACGGATCTCAATGTCGCATTTACAGTCCTCTGTCAGAACTCTTCCCAGATATTTAAACGTTCGCCTGCTTGATGCTTGTGCTCCCAACCTGCAAATCGCATTTTGGGCTCATTCTTTTTACTGATGAGCTGAGTGGTTTCTTCCACTGAGGGAATCGACGATCGCTTGTCCGTCACTGAGGCGAGCCTTTATTGATTGTGGTTTAAGAAGAATGGTATTCTCTACACTAGGACTATTGATAAAAAAAAGCATGGTACTAAGTACTACTGCTATGAACGGGTACCTGTGCAGCTTTTAACCCAAATGTTTGGAGGTAACTTGGCAAAGTTCGCAGCTGCGTAACAGCCACCTTCTGAACACAGTAGGAATCATGATGATGATGATGATGATGGTGATGATGATGATGATGATGATTATGGCGACTAGATTTTTAGCAGCGCACTTTCTATCGATAAAAGATCGGTTCTCTTTGAGACTGCATACCTTTTTGTTTAATCATTCACCCCAAACTAGTCAGTAAATCCACTAAAACGCAAGCTTTTTTCTTAGGGCCACCTATTCAGAATGAAAATTTGATCACGCCTAACCAAATTTTATGTGTGAAAAAGCACATTTAAAAATTAAGAATAAGAGTGAGAGTTAACGAGAGATAACCGCAGATTAGTAGTCAGAACATTATCATTGATAACTCTCTCCTCCAAATTGCGGACCTTAGTTTTTATATTCTTAGTACTTGATATAATGCAAAAATAGCATAATGATTAAATCGGCCATTTATAACCCTTTATATTGGGACTTTTGCATGCAATTACAAATAATCCTCAATAAAGTTTAAAACTTTGAAATCCTATTTATTTTTGGCATATGTATTTTTTGAAATTGTTTCTAAATCTTTGATTATCTTGCAATCATTCCGCCTCACCTGCTATCCTCTTCCCCCAGTCTTATGAGTGACGCTGGACCGTTAGAGAACTACTGTGTTACTTAGTGTGAACGAATAAGAAAAATAAATATTATTAAAGAGAGGAAACAATAGAATAGAAATCAGGAAGGCAGTACATTGTATTTAAATCTTTCAAGATGAAAGTTAGCTGGAAAGCATATTTGATTAGTTGAATTTCTTTAGTGCCATATTAATCTTTATGGGTTATTAAATGCAGAAAATGTAAATGTTTTGAAAGCAGTTGTATAGCTTCGTCTACAGATAAATTGTATTGTTGTTAATTCTACTATAAATATGTATCGTTAGTCATTTTACTATAAATATGTATTGATACTAATTTTTTATATAGATATTTATTTCTGGTATTTTTATACATTTATTGTGCATTCTGTTTGTTTGTGGATTCAATATTTGCCCATAGCTGGAAGCCTAACAGGTGGACCTGGGAACAACACCAATTAAGTGGTGGTTCCACGTTCCTCGAAACCTCCAGCATATATCCGGAAGAGAGTTCCAGAAGCGAGATATACTAAAAATAAACTCTTACCACAAAACTTCCGGTTAGATCTATCCAATTCAACAATAAATTGGTGAGATCTTGTTGCTAATCTCGTACGGTGGTTAAACACATAAAGTGTAGCTACCATAGCGAACAGTCCTTACGAATAATTTCAAAGAAAGTATTTATAGAAAGGGAACAGTGATACTTAGCGGTGGCGGGAAAAAGACTGAAGCCGAGACACCAGGTCAAGGCCAATAATATTGCTGATTTTTCGTTGGATTATATCAAGAATATATAGCAGCAGCATCTTGCGATTCAGCCTAGATTGAACTCACCAATACTTTGATTGGTGTAGTTCATAACCTTGTCAAATAGCTGAATTCTTGATGCTTCGCTAGGGCTATCAAGGGTGTTTTTATCGTGACACCATCACTAAATGGATTGCCAACCAAGGCTCAGAGAGACTCCATTCACCCTCCTCTAAGAGCAGGTTTGAATTCAGAGTTTTCCTTCTCCTAGACCAGTTGCCATCCAAGGCTATAGAACCCAGTCTGTCCTGCTATTTACCCAGAGCTGGAGGGAGAAGAAAGAGGATTCACACCTTTCCCACGTAAGTGAATATAATGGATTCGACTGGAATTCGAACTCGGCTCTCCGATTCCTCAATCCAAGCCGCTATCCATTACTCCACCGTGCCTCCTCTAACAGCAGCAGCATCGGGCTATATGTGGCAACAATATTCAAATAATGGACGAATGGGAAAATTACATTTTGTAACAGAAGCTCTGAAAGAATATGAAAGATGCACGTAGATCACACCGCCAAAAAGTAAAACGCCCGAAATTTAACATTGTTTAAAGATGCCGAAGCTTATTTCACATTCAGTTAGTTATGTGCCGTGCGTGATACACGTTTAGGCGATCATGTATCTTTTGATAAATGACTGACGAGGCAGAATTTTTTTTTCCTGCAGTAGGTTGCCATATGTTTCTGCGGTAGACCAGCTTTAAAAAGGCTATAGAACCAGGTCTGATCTGCTATTTACACATAGCTAGGGGAGAAGAAGAAGATTCAAACCTTTTTCAAATGTATTGTCAAGTAAGTGAATGTAATAGATTCGACTGGAATTCGAACTCGGCTGCTCCGATTCCTCAATCTGAGTCGTTATCCATTATTCTACCGCGTCACCTTTTGCACGTTACTGTATTTGTATAACCTAATATCCCCTGTACCTGAGTAAAATGTTATTTTATTTAAGGACAGTTCAATAAAATTCATCAGTCATTATTTCACTGATTTTTGTAATTTTGTCTACGATTACGACCTTAACATAACCTGCTTCCTGGAGATCTTTCGTGAATGTTGCTTTTCACTAAAATATGAATCTACTTTTAAGAGGGGTCATATTTTTTCTATTTTTATTAATACCTGAGGAGGCTGTAGACCTTTCGTTTACATTGGTGCCATTGTAATCAACAGTCAAGTCTCCAATATTTTAATGAATATTGTCTCGCATGAGTGTACACGTCAGCTTTCCGGTTTGGGATTTGAAACACAAGAATCTGTCAAACGCATAAATTTACAGCAATTGTTTATCTTTAATTTTGTTGTGGTGTCCTCCCGCTAAAGAGTTTGTGTTAGACTCTTCCGCCTACTATAAGATTAGTAGGAGAGAAGGCTTCGAGGGAACAGTTAACTTTGAATAGACTGAGCGCTAATACATTTCTGGTGTATTTACTGTTTAATATACGATATATCTGAAAACCTGGTTTTTGTTATTACTTAACCATTTACTTGGTCACAACAAATTTAACGCCATATTTGAAACGAGGTGAGATTTTACCGCCAACAATACAACACCAAAAGTATACATGACCGGCTCTCTGTTGATGTGTTGATAAAGATTCTCTGAACGTCCCAAATTCTAACATATCCATTACGTCTTTCTAATAGAATCGTATGTAAATAAGTAACCATTTTCTCTTATCATTTTCAGGAATCTCTGAAAAGAAGATATATATTTCTCTTCCTGATATTTAGTTAAAGGTGGAAGGTTCTTAGTTTTTCACGTGTTTCGTCAGTGTTCTTAATGTTCGGCATCTTTCCTCTCTGGCAACATCATGTTCTATTTTCTTCTTGTTCAATAACCTCTTTTGGTGTAAACAATCTTAATTTAAAAAGAAAACTTGTCATAATTTAAATCCTCTTTTGATGTTGATATTCTTATCTTGACAATGTTCGGAATTTATTATTTTCTTGTTTTCTCAGCTTCATTCAACATTTTTTTTTCCATAGTTGTTTACCTATTAATCAATGCATAAGCTAAAATTGCTTGCGTTATTGACTTGTATCTTTCTTGAAACCCATG